ATAATAATAATAAATAATGGGGAATTTTTTAAACTATCTTGACTCCCTGGGCCTGGGGCATCTAGTGGATCCAAAATATGATCAAAATGCCCTCAACACCTCCTAGAGGTCATTCTGGGGCATTTTGGAGCAAAGTACGTGCAATTTATGACCCCCTTGGGGTGGCCAGGCCCCACATAAAAAAGGCCGTATGGCAAATGCAGTCCACAGCTGCACTTGCTGCAAGGCAACTCTGCTGTGGCTATTTTTCCATAGCTGTGTTTTATGCTGTGGTTGGGTCAAAAACATCTTCTGCAATTGCTTTTAGCACAAGACAACAAAGAGGAAAATACTTCCATGCATCTACAACATCACATCTAATTTGTTCTAAACTGCTGCTGAAAACAGATAATTTTAAGTTATGTGTGTCTGGATGATAACTGATGACATTTACAGAGATGCTGATAGGCTAGGAAGACCCTGAAGCATCTTGATGGTGAAGGAAGACTGACCAAACCAGCTCTCATAGCCTTTTGCCTGTGGCACAGGAGCTACTTTTGAGCTACTATAGCTTCGTCTATAGGAGCTGCTAGATGTGTCTTTTGCGTACATTTGAAGGTGAGCAAGCAAAAGAGAAATGCAAATCAATGATGGAACCTAGTACAGAAAGCCTGAGTGGTTTCATCACTTCTAAGGTAGGAAGCTGTGAAGAGTCCTTCTAGCTCTCATCTTAAGGTCAGAAAACTAATAATGTTTCACCTTGCAAATATATGTATTTTCATCATGGGCCTTTATATAGTAGGCATACTCACAGACAAAAAGATCCAGGATTGCAGATTAGTTGCAACGTCAAGAGGTTTATGTGTTACAACAATTTTGCACAGCGTTTATGACTGTATAGTTTTTATGGCAGACATTTTCCTGTTGTTAGCAAGAGAATGCAAACAAAAGAGCAATATACAAAAATCCTGACCTTAAAATTCTTGTTACTCATATGGGAGCTTTCAAATTGGTTCAGTGTGTGTTTGAAATGGAAAATCAGAGAAAAAGTCATGGCAATCTGCAAAGGAATCTAATTATTTTAATTCTACCAGTGCTTTCTAATCTCCTTGTTTAAATTCTGATTTACAGCAAACTCAATGCGTATTTACTCAGAAGTACACCCCAGTATGTTCAGTGGAGGTTACTTTAACCTTGACTGTGCCCCCAAATAAGAGCATAAAGGATCATAGTCATAGGGCCTTTACAGACTGCCAGAAATAATGCAGTTTGAGGCCACTTTAACTATCCTGGCTCAGTGCTAGGGAATCATGGGAATTGTATTTTTTTCTGAGGCATTGAGCCTTCTCTGTCAGAGAGCTCTTGTGCCACAATAAACTACAGTTCGCATGATTCCTTAGCACTAAGCCAGGATAGTTAAAGTGGCCTCAAGCTGCATTATTTCTGGCAGTCTGTAAAGGCCTTTAGTGGAAAAGCAACATGTTGTTGTTGTGTGCTTTCAAGTGGTTTCTGACTGATGGTGACTCTATATCACGGAGCTTTCTTGGCAAAATTTCTTCAGATGGGATTTGCCTTAGCCTTTCTCTGAGGCTGAGAGTGTGTGACTTGCTTAAGGTCACCTAGTAGGTTTCCATGGCTGAGTGAGGATTGAAAGCCTGGTCTCCAGAGTTATAGAATGCATCTGCACTGTAAAAATAATGCAGTTTGACATCACTTTAACTGCCATGGCTCCATCCTATAGAATTCTGGGATTTGTAATTTCGTGAGGCACCAGCACTCTTTGGTGGAGAAAACTAAAGGCCTTGTAAAACTACAAATCCTAGGATTCCATAGGAACCAGCGACAACTCTTAAAGTGGTATCAAACTGCATTATTTCTACAGTTTAGATACACTCAAGAGTCCAACTTTTAAAATCACTACATTGTGCGGCTCTCCTTTGAAAGATATCCCACCAAGATGCTCAGAGTCAAACCTTTATCCTTAGTCAAACCTGTAAACCTTTGCAATGCGGCTAAACATATAAATGTGTTGTGTACCTTCAAGTCATTTCTTCCAATTTATGACCACTCTAAGGCAACCCTATCATGAGGTTTTCTTGGCAAGATTTATTCAGAGGAGGTTTGCCATTGCCTTCCACTGAGGTTGAGAGAGTGTGACTCACCCAAGGGTCACCCAGTGGGTTTCATGGCTGAGCTGGAAATTGAACCCTGGTCTCCAGAGTTGTAGTCCAGCACTCAAACCACTACGTTATGCTGGCTCACATAAATATATTAAATTAGGATTAGTCTCTATGTTATGAGCCTTATGTTAAGAGCCAGCATAGTGTAGTGGTTTGAGTGTTGGATAGGGTGACCAGATGTCCTCCTTTTCCCCGGACACAGCCTACATTTAAACCTTCTGTCCAGAAGGAATTCCAAAAAGCCCTCCATTTCCAGCATGACTTAAGAAGCATGAATTTATACTTATATGAGCATTTATTTGTTATTTGGTCATGTCCTCCATTTTTCTTGCATGCCCTACACAGCTTTGGGTTCCTTGTCCTACTTTGCGGTCAGGACACCTGGCCACCTTGATGTTCTGACTCCTGGAGACCAGGGTTTGAGTCCTGGTTGGGCCATGGAAACCCACTGGGTGACCTTAGGCAAGTCACACTCTCTCAGCCTCAGGGGCAAGCCTCCTCTGAACAAATCTTTGTGTTTTTTTTGTTTTTGTTTTTTGTGGTTTTAATCTTTGTAATACGTTTTTAATGTGTTTTTACTTGTGAGTCACCTTGGGTCTTTCTGTGAGAAAGGCAGCATTGAAATAAAATAAAAAAAATAAAAGTGGCCAAGAAAACCCCATGGTAAAGTCGACCGCCTTGTTAGTCTGAAACCACTTGAAAGGAACACATTACAAGCTTATGAGGAGGCCTGAAGGGAATTTGGGTGTGTTGATGACAAACAAGAACGTCTGTGCAGGGCGCATGCGCACCAACGGCCGACCTCCGGGAACTATAGGAACGGGGGGCCCCTGGCGGCGGGAGCGAGAAAGTGTAACTAAAGCCGCCTCCCTTCCCCGCTTCCGTTTCGCGCATTTCCTCCTCTCTCCCCGCCTCCACCAATCAGGGGCTCGGCAGATGAAACGGGGCGTGGCCTGAGTCTCTTCGCAGAATGGGGGCGGAGTCAGGGCTTCTGTCCCGCAAAGCGGCGCCTTCAGGTCACGTGGTGCCCGAAAAGTTTGCTGTGAGGAAAAGAGATGCTCTCCAGGAAGGTATTATTGGGGGGAAAGGCATGCAAGGAAGAGCGGGAGTTGTCAGTGTTATTTTGGCTGAGGGAGAATGTAGGCTGCGTGCCTTACTGCAGGAATAATCCGGTTCGACATCACCTTAGGCGCCGTGGCTCAATGCTCTGGAATTCTGGGAGTTGTAGTTTGTTGGGAGGCACTCTGTACATGCCCGGAGGCACCTAATCTCCCAGTCATGCACGTGCTTTGGAATTCTGGGAGCTGTAGTTTGTTGGAGGGCACTCTGTACATGCCCAGAGGCACCTCACCTGCCAGTCATGAACGTGCTTTGGAATTCTGGGAGCTGTAGTTTGTTGGAGGGCACTCTGTACATGCCCAGAGGCACCTCATTTGCCAGTCATGCACGTGCCTGGAGATTCTTTTGTCGTTTCGACTGCAGTAGACTGGGGCTGCATCCACACTGCAGAGATAAATCCTGGTTGACACCACTTTCATAACTGCCATGGCTCCATGCTATGGAATTCTGGGAATTGTAGTTTGTGGTGATCTCTGACAGAAGAAGCTCAATGACTCCCAAAACTACACTTCACAGAATTCCATAGCATTGGGCCTGGACAGTTAAAGTGGGTTCAACCTGGATTATTTCTTCAATGTGGATGTTTATTCAAACAGCCCCATGGAAACAGAGGGATATAGATATTATACAACAATAAACCCAAGCCTCCTGAGTATATTTTTGGTTTTAAGTGGGAGGAAACGTGTATATTTTAGGTTTGCATGGAGGGAAATCTATGGGACTTTGGCAGGATAGGATGGAGTGATTCCCATTCAATCACTCTGGCCTTTATATGGCAACTTGAAAAGAAACTATATTATTTGTAGGGACGTACTAAAAATACATTTTCGGTATGTCCCTATTTTCATGAAACATTGGCAGATCAGACTATATATGATGAAAGTGGTTTGCTGTGCCCAATTTGGATCATAGTAGAAATTAATGTTGATGTGAAGCTTGTTTATCTGTCCCTGGGAGACAGAATTGGTGCAGTTTGAAATGTGAAACTATGCCCTTTAGTTGCTGGAGTTTTGTGACAATTCCACCTTGATCTTGTACCAAATGCTCTGGAGAATGGCATGCCAAATACTGATATAATATCACCTAAGATGGCAAATACCTGCTCACATTACTATTTATTATTTTATTATTTTATTTGGAGTATTTATGCCCCGCTCTTCAGCCAAAAGGCTATCAGAGCAGCTTACAAATGGTTAATTAGACATAGCTTGCATTAGAGTTGCAGTGTCCTCATTCACAGCCTAAGAAGTCTTATAAAAGACTTTTCTGTCAGTTCTTGGTAAAGAGCATAATAATAGTAATAATAATAATAAAAATATTTATTTATTACCCACCTTTCCCCTTGGTTCGAGGCAGGAAACAACGGCAATTAAGACACACCAGATTAGTTAAAACACATCAGTTAAAATACACATCAGTTTAAAAGTATGTAGAGAGATCTTGTGGCACCTTTGAGACTAATTCCCTTTGCAGACTGCCAGAAATAGTGCAAATTGAGTCCACTTTAAGGGTTAGGGTTAGTGCTAGGGAATCATGGGAATTGTTTTTTTTTTTCTGAGACATTGAGCCTTCTCTGTCAGAGAGCTCTGGTGCCACAATAAACTACAGTTCCCATGATTCCCTAACCCTTAAAGTGGACTCAATTTGCATTATTTCTAGCAGTCTGCAAAGGCCCTAACTGAAAAAAGTTGGCAGCATGAGCTTTTTCTTTTGACTTCGAGAACCAGTATGGCACAGTGGTTTGAGCGTTAGCCTACAACTGGAGACCAGGGTTCAATTCCTAGCTCTGCCATGAAGCCCATTGCTTGACCTTGGGTCACCTGCTCTCAGCCTCAGGGGAAGGCAATGGGAAACCTCCTCTGAACAAATCTTCTGAAAAAAACTCCATGACTGGTTCACTTTAGGCTCACCATAAGACAAGAATGACTTGAAGGTACGCAGCAACAGACCAAGGATGATTAGAAGAAAGCTCAGGATCTACTGATAAATCTCTGGATGGTTAGTGGTAATTCACTAAAAGTTTTTGACTCCCAGTGTTATTTCATAATTCTGACAACAGTAAGGTTCCTCTTACCCTTAATTAGGTTGAAAGCATTCAGGGTTAGCTGTGTTGGCTATTTAACAAATTCAAACAAAAATCCATCAGTGATATCTTTATTGGCCAACCAAAATGCACAATATATCTGTTGCAAGCTTTCGAAGCTTCCTCTTCATCAGACAAGATGTTACAAACGAAACAGGAGAAAATAGGAGATGTTAATCAGATGCCTACATGTTGTTTCAGTCTTTAGTTAAGATGGTATATGGTGGGGAGGAGATCTTTTGCAGGCAGGCTCCTCCTCCTTCTGGCTCTGTGGCTATATAGGGAGATTTGCAAAGTCCAGGAAATTTAAAATCCATTTGCATCTCAACAGGGACCCCTCTTTTGCAATCCAATATGTCTCCATTCCAGTGAGGCCACAGGACCAGAAGGAAGAGGAGCCTGCTTGCAAAATATATCCTCCTCCCCATCACATATCATCTTAACTAAAGACCGAAACAACATGTAAACATCTGACTAACATCTCCAATTGTTTTTTCCCTGTTTGGTTTGTAACATCTTGCCTGATGAAGAAGAAGCCCATGGAGCTTCAAAAGCTTTCAGCAAGTATATTGTGCATTTTGGTTGGCTAATAAAGGTATCACTGATGGATTTTTGTTTGAATTTCCTTTATTAGGCTGTTAAAATGAGGCAAATTAGCGACTGATTGTTGTGCACATACATTCCTTTCAAACTATTAAAAATATGACTGAAGATTGAAATAAATTTTTATTTACAGAGAAAACGAGCATGTTGCACAGAATTTGCCTCTTTTCCGGATGAGATGCCTGTAAGGGAAGGGAAGAGAAATGCAGGGCAACCTGTAGTTGCTGCTTCCATTTCAAGTGCCTGGCTTCGTTGTGGTGATGGGTTTCAGAGGACTTCTTCACTGGAGGTAAAATCTATCACTGTAATTCATTCATTCATTTTGCTTAGGTACCACCTTTTCCTCCAGAACTGGGCGTCAAGGTGGCTACATGTTTTGATGTGAGAGTTTTGAACTCTAATTATGCAGGATTTTAAAAAGTTTCTCTGTTGCTTAATCTTCTGATTCAAAGACAGCCTAATTATACAAACCTTATTGTAGTGCTTGTAATAATGATGATAATTTTCAATTTAATGAACAAAAGTTACCACTGATGGTTGGAAAGCAAAGACATATTTAATATTTCCTATTATTCTCTAAAAATAAATTAACTCCTATCATGGTGAATTAAAGTTTACTTTGGTTACAATTGGTCCTCATCAGTTAGTCAATTGTAACTCTTCAGTTGATTGAACTGAAGAACTGAACCGATAATGAACTGAAGTTGATCAGTTGATTCAATTAAACCTTGCAGTCTTAATCTTTATAGATATTTAACAGAAAACAACTGTTTATGCTAAATCATGTGCTGGACAAGGGCCAATAAAATGAAGTTTTAATGATAAGATGGAGGCCTTATGGGTTGGTGGTTCCTGTGTCTGTTCCAGCTCATTCCTGGAGTCTGTTCCAAATGGATTGCACTTCCCCTTAATGAACAGATGTGCACCTCGTCTAGTTTATCACTTGAGGCTGAAGTGGCCTCAGTGGGTAGGATGCCCTAAATCAGGGGTAGGCAACCTAAGGCCCGGGGGGGCCGGATGCGGCCCCTC